CGCTATCCTAAAGTCGTGTTGTCTTTCTTTTGTACGTGTACTTTCGGCACTATATGACTCCAACATAAAACCCCAATGGTTCACAATCGATTTTTCTCTCATGAGTACAATCACATGGAGATAAAGAAGGAGTATTCATTGAATTGTCAAAACCATAATAGAGTCTACATCTAAATATTTTTCATGTTCAATCTCAATCCATGAAATTTCATCTCCACTTCGTAGTGTAGAAGTTCAACTTTCATCACAATGAAAATAAATTAATTTAAAATAAGTTACAATCTATAATTATAATTTTTATTTTTGTATTAAAAATGAAAATATAAAACAAAACTGATATTAGAAATGAAAATTAAAACAAATATGAAAAAGACTTATTAACCAGAGAATACAAATTTATGTGTAGCAATCGAGCCGAGTAGCTCGTTGGCTCGCCCGTTGGCTCATAAAAGGACTTCTCGTGAGTGGCTTGGGCTCATATTTGGACTAGCTTGAGCACGAGCTGAGCGGGCCTACTCGCTAGGTGAGCCAAACCCGCTCGGCTTGCCCATGGGCTAGCGGCTCCTAGGATCTAAAGTTCACGAGCCAAGCTGAGCTCATGGGCTCGTAAAATATGGGAATAAAAGAGTCAGAATTTTTTTTTAAAAAATTAAAAAAATTCTTGAGCTCGTGGGCTCGGCTTTGCTTGTGGGTAGATGGGCCGAGCTGGTTCGCTCGGCCTATTGCCATCCCTACACAAATCACACATTTAATAAATCACAAATTATTTGTTAGTAATCGGTTCGGCCCATTGTCACCCCTACACAAATCACACATTTAATAAATCACAAATTATTTATTAGTAACAAATTACCCATAGCTAGTCCAATCACTTTTCATCTCACCCTACTCAACCACCACTAGAACCATCCAAAATTGTTGTTGCCACATCAAATCTATAACCTACCGCCACCACCACCTCTACCTCAACCATCACCTCAATACAAAACCATTGGACTTTACCTTCACTTCAACTACACAACCACTTCCACCTCCAATGCACCATTACTTGAACCTAAATCAACAAATACCAGACTTCACCTCACCACCTCAAATCCACCACTACCTGCACCTCAATTCAATTTCTTCTATGAATGGATGAGATAACAGGCAAAAGTCATTTCCAATCATAAAGTCAATTCCAGTTTCCAATTGGTAAACTGTAGGTACTTTAAAATAAAAATTTCCCATTGAGATTTATGATATCCATTAATCTCAATATTTAGAGCTTTTACTACTATGGAAGTTTTAACTTCAGATTTATCTGCAATCTTAAGTTTTAAGATTTTCTCAAATAAAACCCAGTTGTCCAACTTTAATTCACTTCCACCTCAAATACACCATGATCTCCACCAACAAACTTCAAAAACTTACAGCAATGTGGATCGGTCGCAAATGTATATTATATATAGAAAGTGGGCTGGGTATGACTGTATTGAGATGTATATATATTTTTTAATTAAAAAATAATTATATCTAATTTTTAAATAAAAATAATCATAAGCTGTTATGAAATTAAAGTAATAGAACAAGAAGAGAAGGAAATATGAGAGTTAAAACTCCATTGTGCATATTATTAAGAATCAAGGCCCCATATTTATAGGGTCCAAAGTAAGAGTTACAGTTGTTATGAAATAAACTCTCTAAACTAGATATGACTTATTTATGCATGATGATAAGACTTCATAATCATCAATGTTTATCTTATAGTTTTCAACATTCCTCCATTGATAATTATTTGCATAATAACTATATTATCAAAACATTGCTTAACAGGAACCCGTTGGGACAAAAATACTAACAATTGAAAAATGAATACAAATATTTAGAGCAATAAAATAGTGTCTTGATAAAATCTTATCAAGAAAATTTGGTGGGACAAAACTTGATCGAAAGTAAAAGAATATATTTACTCCTTGTAATTTCTATAAGTGAAAATTTTTGTATCAAGCGATCGATGTCTTGTACATTAATGTCTTCAATATTGCAATTTTTAATGAAATATGTAACATGTCTTTTTATAGTCTTCAAATAACACTGTCTTTAAAGGAGATATTTATCAACTTTTGATGACTGTAGAAACATGATGATTCGAAGAAAAGCTTTCGTTGATCTCTTCGAGAGTTTCATACGTATATGAATATTATTTTGAAGGTAAATACCTTGTTATGGACATTCATCACATAAAGAATATACCTCGTTAAAACTTTATTAGGAAATATCCCGTGGAAAAAAATCCTAATTAAGGAAAAATAGAACATTATTCTTTTAAATACGCTACAAAAATTATCTCATTAAAAATCTTGTCAAAAAATCTAATAGGACAAAATCTTGGTCAAGGAAAAAACTTTTAAGGTAACATTAATCGCCATGCCAGATGAGACGGCTATAATCAAATTTATTATATGCATATCAAATTTCATACAATTTTAGACTAATAAAATAGAGACTTTTGATTACATTCACCACATAATAATTTATCTATTTACACTAGTTTTAGCTAAATTCATTCTGTAAAGAGTGCAGAAAGTCGTACATTTCATATTATGACTTTACTTTTCTATTTTTATTTCTCATAAATATATACCTTTAGGTGTTCGAACTGTAGATCCAAAAATTTTGGATTTCTCTAGTAAATTCAATTTGCTAGGATTGCGTCCAGTTATTTGGCCAATTATTTTTTCGATCGATATGTTTTAACAAATTTATTTCGATTCTTCGCTCTTCATATATGATTTGGTACATCATGTAAAAAAGTGTTGTCAACAACTTTTCTTTTTTTATTCTATTTCTTTTCTCATGATGATATAATTTATTGAAATATCTCAATTTCAATATTTCAGGCACTTGAACCTCATATAGTGTTTTAAACCTTGTAATGTCTAAATATTCATCAAGAGTATATACATTCTTAACAGGACTATATTTGTTAATTGCTCCATTTTTGTTTGGAGATTTTTATATTAGAATTGAATATCATTATGCTTCAAGTGTGCCATCAAATATCATATTAACTAATTGTTCTCAAGAATGTTAATTCGAGTTAGATCATTTAAAACTGATGTGTGAGATATTATTGATCTCTTCGATCAACAAATGCATCTAAATGAATTATCTTCAAACTTCTGGTTTAAATGTTTTTTTATGAGGATTTAGATGATGATGTATTTGTATACTCTTTTCAGCTTCTTAATTTCTCCTCCTAATGCTGATGTTGACATATAGTCAATTTCATCCTCAATATTTTGATCATAACAAACAAGATTAATTTTGTTTCTAACAAATTCTTTTGAATGATGATAGTTCAATGTTCAAATCAATCAAGTACTATCGGACTTCAAATGAAAATCAAAGGGAAGGCTAAGTATTCAAGTCAAATCATTCGAGACAAAAGTTTAAAAGATAAATGCCAAGAAAAATCAAGAACAAGAGCATGAAATACAACATCAAAGAAAGATCAAGATGAGAAGTTTAAGAGGCAAATTTCAGAGTAAAGACTTGATTTCTTAGGCAAAATGTAAAGATACTACTGCTTTGATATTTGGCAATGAATAGTTAAACTCAATATCTTGCTATGCTTTAAAAATAATTTTTGTGGACTAAAATCATTCGAATGCAACCTTTTTGATCAAATATGAAAATAACTTTTAAAAATGATGTTTGGACTTTAAAGACATTTTTATAATGAAAATTTAGTTAAAAATATTTTTCAAAAGTCCATGCACTTCAAAAATTTCAAATCAAAACAAACGGGACCAAAACGTAAAAAGACCACACTGTCAGGACGTTCAACGGTCCAAAGAGGCGGTCGACCGGATTCCCTCCAATAGTCCGAAATTTGACCATTCTTACTTCTGATTTTTACCGTACAAACGGCTATATTGGTCTTCCAGACAAGAAACGGTCGATCGGATGAGTCATCCGCAAATCAGATTTTTTAACGTTTTGGACTCTATAAATACCCCAATCTCTTGCATTCATTTTATCACTTCCAAAAGCATTAAATTGAGATATTTTTAAGCCTTAACTTTTGTTTTCTACTCTTTATTTATCTCTATCAATTCATTCACTTTTGAAAAACTTTTGATTGAGTTTTACTTTTGAAAATCATTTCATCAAAGTTTTTGAAACTTAACACTTGAGCTTTACTTATTGCCATTCATTAAAGTGTTAGCCTATTTTTTTCCATTGTACTCTACTTTGAATATATCCTTATTGTGAAAGAACCTTCTTTTTTTTTTGTAAAATTTACACTTGGTTGAATAGTGGGTCGTATTGAGGTCCCGAAAAGCTCAACGTAG